AGTTCATTATTAGTTCATGTTAACTAATGTAGTTAACTAATGTTATCTAATGAACCCTATTGTAAAGTGTTACTGAAGACATTTGCAAGTTTTGTTTCCTACAATGGATTGTAAAGTAAATATCCACCTCATCCAGCGCTCTCTCTTTTCTTTATTATAAAATATCCCGTACTTGTTCAGTGTGAGAAACCGCTGCAAACGTTTCAGCGCATGCGTGAACTGTCCTAATAAATCAAAAGGTCTGAAATTGTTCACAATTATGTTTAGCAAACCCGTTTGACAGATTAGATGAGAATGTTTCCTTCGCGAATCTGATTATAAACAGCTGATAGAAAACACATTACATGATTGCTGAAATATTATCAGAGGAAATGATACTCGTGTTTCTCAAATGGCACATAAGGATTTATCAGTATTATTTTACTGGTGACTAGCGATGCCCCTTGTTCTTTTTACCTTTGAGTATGATGAAGTCGGGCTGTTAAGAGCTGAGTAATTCCCATCACTGCTTTTTGCAAATGAGATTTCCCATCAAAACACACTAATGGCACTGAAGGTCTGGCACCGGTCTCATGGATAACTATCTGCCTTGTCCATTGTGCATCAAGCTCATATTGTTCTTAATATTCACCTTCCCCTGCAACTTTGAAGTGATGAATGTTTTTCATATTTCTTCGTAATCTTATTCTCCACAGACCTCATATTCGTGTCTAGTGTTCCAGTCTGTCTTGTGGCCAGAATATTCTTTCTGGAATCTGTGTGAAGCTGTTTTGCAGTACCAGCTGAGTCATCGATCTCTCCAGGTATGCTAGATCTCTTTTGTTGTCCTGTTTTTATGGTGATACAGATTACTTCGGTAACTGCTGTTTTGTCACCTAGAAAAATTGGGTCTCATTCATGAAACATTCATAAATATACGAGTAAATATGAGAGTGATTTGCGCGTAAAGAGACCTTCCCGAAAACTCATCTCCTGATTCACAAATACTTCTTTAACATTAGATGTGATAGTGAAATGTGTGTGTGTTAATGAATTCCAATCAGTCGTAAAGGGGACGTGCGTACACGCTCATTCTCAATTACCATAAATCCCGCCCATTAAATCCGATTGACAACTATATATGGGCATCATATTAGGACACCAAACGAAGGATTTCAACATGTCTTCTCTTATTTATTTATTCTTATTTTTATTTTTTCTTCCCACCTCCACCCCCCCTCTTCGGAGGACAACTTTTTTTTTTTTATTACAGAAACTGTAATATCTTTTTTAAGTACATACACAATATGTTATATTTGGATTACATTTATAATCAGTACCTTTAACTGTTGTCCTACCATAACCTTTCACCATGTTTTAGTAAGATCCTAGATCCTTATAAGGGCATGGGGGGTTAAAGTACCATATACAAATTGATACACATAACACTTCTTTTTCTTCTTTTCCCACAATGCTGCTCTGGCTTAAAAATGACCTGGAATCGGGATTGCCTAGACATAGACTGATAACAGGCTTGTGCTAACTGTAGACATGTCTTCTCAAAAGCAAATGAAAAAGAAAAAATTCTCAGATGCAGAAATCGAAGTTTTATTATCAGAAGTTCATTCAAAACACCACATTTTATTTTCAAGCGTAGGCTACACAGTGGCGTATCAGGTCCTAAAGAAAGCAAGCTTTGGCAGCATTACAGATGCAGTTACTGGAGTTTCATCTGTTAATCAAACAGCCCCAGAAGTAAAAAGAAAAAAAAGTATGTAATTACTATATATAATATTTTTTTCAAAATGCTGTGTAAATATGTACCCGATTAAGGTGAATTAAAATGCAGCCTTAGTTATTAATGAGCAAAACGTTCGGGTGTTAAACGCACTATTTACGCGTGGCTGGGAGCAGGTGTAGATTTCTTTCGTACCAACTAACATTTGGAAAATACGAACATTTTAATGAATCCGAAAATTTACGCCAGAACCACTTTACACACGATTTACACACAAATTTGTTCTGCTCGTGTTTCATGAATGAGACCCAAAGTGTGCATACTAATGTTTTCACCAATAAATCATGATTCACCAATAACTGAATTTATTCAAAATTTAAGGGATGAAACAGAAATTGCGATAGTCTTTTCTTCTCTACTGTGGCGTATATCTGAGTATAACAAATACTCAACAAATGTAGGGCGGGGCTTGATTTTGTCCATGGGGTTTGATTGGATGGTTGTGGTTTGCTATTGGTGGATCTCATTGAAACGTTTTCCTGCCCTCACGCTAGTAAACACATCATCAGAGAAGTGAAGAGATGCTACAAGAGAGAGGGGAAGTTATTTTGATTCAATATAGTGAGGCACATATGCAAAATAATGTGCACTGATAAATCATTGCTGTCAGTTTTAATTTTCATGGTGACCACACATATGCAAAAATCATATACACTGAGTGAGTGGCCTTATAATTGTGTTAAGATTAATTTTCTACATGGATATTTTATCACTCATTTGGCATTGCTCAGATCTTGCTGCGTGTCTTTAGAGAGCGTAATATGTTTGCTGAGAGTAATGACAGGCTGCGAAGGAAACGAAATCACTTAAATGGACATGGTTTGGGCGGGCGGTCGCTCATTTAAAATACTCTAAATGGTTAATAACAAGGCTAATAACAAATTCATATGCATGTGTTGTGAATTATGCAGACTTTATTTTGTGAGAAGTTCTCCTGTGCATACAAATAAGAAATAATCCACGCAATTATTACTGAATGACACCCATTGGTTTGAATGGAGCATTCATGTATTTAGCTCACTTATGCGATAAAGTTGTTTATTGTTAGTTCATGCTAGCAATTGCATTAGCCAATGCTAACATACAGACGCTTAAAAGTTATTACCTTAAAAACGTTTCTTGTAAAACTTTACAATAAGGTTTCATTTGTTTATATTAGTTAATATATTACCCAACATGAACTAACAATTCTTAGATTAGTAATTGGACCTTATTGTAATTTATTTTTAAAACAGACAACCTTTTGACCAGCATGAAGACACAGGATATTGTATTACTGCATGTGCTGTTGTTGCTTATGGTTTTGTAAACGATAACTATAAATGTTTCCCTAAACGGTTTCCTGATAACATCATTCTAGGAAGTACAGAAAAGTTGAGTAAGGATGCAAAGGCATACATTTGATGAATGTTACACATGTGCAGTTACATGCATATTCACATTTGCTGCACATATTTCGTGTGTTGTAGAAAGCTCAGGAGCTGCACCGGGAAAGCCAAGCGCTCCAGCAGATGGAAGCAGATCGCACCTGTGTGACTGAGATCCTGCAGCATCGTGGGAATGGAAAGCCCATGGATGGCCAGAGTCGACAGACTGCTCTGCTGAACTACACCGCCAGCCGAGAGGAGAGGGTGCGGTGCTTTCTGAACGCCCTTCAGCACAAGAGAGACGCTTTCTTCAACGATTTAAGCAGCCAGACTGTCGTGGCTTAGCACTGAACTTTTTTTATTTACTGATCTGTAAATACTTTACATCCAGAAGGATGTTTCACCCCGTTTTATGGGGCAGTGGCTATGTATGTTTGTCAATAGAACTAATCTTAAATCTTCAAATAAATTCACTTTGATTGACCAGAGGGGCTTCTTTTATGGACTAGAAATATACACTGCCGTTCAAAAGTTTGGGATCTGTAAGATTTTTTAAATAAGTCTCTTCTGTTCACCAAGGCTGCATTTTTAAAAAAAAAATCCAAAATACAGGAAAACTAATATTGTGAAATATTATTGAGTTTTCTGTTTGAATATGTTTTAAAATGTAATTTATTCCTGTGTTCAAAGCTGAATTTTCAGCATCATTACTCCAGTCTTCAGTGTCACATGATCCTTCAGAAATCACTCTAATATGATGATTTGCTGCTCGAGAAACATTTCTGATAATTATCAATGTGTATAATTGTTTTTCAGGATTCTTTGATGAACAGAAGGTTTTAAAGAACTGCATTTATTTGAAATAGAATATTTTGTAAGTAACATTATAAATGTCTTTACCTGTCACTTTTGATCAATATACATTTACATTTATTAATTTAGCTGACGCTTTTTATCCAAAGTGGATTATTGAGTTATTGACATATATATAGAATTGCTATATATATGTCAGAGGTCGCACACCTCTGGAGCAACTAGGGGTTAAGTGCTCTTGCTCAGGGACACAGTCACAGGGACTCTCACACCAAAGGCATGTGTCCTATCCACTGCGCCATCACCACCCCTTTTAAATGCATCCTTGCTGAAAAAACATTCATTTCTTTCAAAAAACAAAATTCGTACTGACCCCCAAACTTTTGAACGGTAGTGTATAATGTTACAAAATATTCTATTTCAAATAAATGCTGTTCTTTTGAACTTTCTGTTCATCAAAGAATCCTGAAAAACAATTATACACAACTGTTTTCAACATTGATAATAATCATAAATGTTTCTTGAGCAGCAAATCATCATATTAGAATGATTTCTGAAGGATCATGTGACACTGAAGACTGGAGTAATGATGCTGAAAATCCAGCTTTGATCACAGGAATAAATAACATTTTACAATATACTCAAATAGAAAACAGTTATTTAAAACGGTCATATTTCACAATATTACCTTTTTTTATCAAATGAATGCAGCCTTGGTGTGCATACGAGACTTCTTTTAAAAACGTTAAAAAAATTACGATCCCAAACCTTTGAACGGCAGTATATATAAAAATGTATTAAAAATGTAAATAAATGAGATGAGTATGTGCGTATAAAGTTATGACTAGCAGGTTTTCCCTCTGTATTCGGTTTTTAAAATGCCGGTGTAATTCCACTCTGTCCAGCAGAGGCGCCGTTTCCACCAAGACGAGCATCATCATCAGTCTGAGCTCTGAAACCTGAGCGGGGAATTCTGTCATTGTTGCTTTAAGAGATAAGCGACGCCCAGCGATACGTGATAGTTCTAGCAGCCAATCGCTGAACGGAATATGCTAAATCTGGTTTAAACCGGTTTCTATCTTAAATTTCAATATAAAAACTTAATAAAACATATACAGCCGTTATTGTATTTTACACGAGACGCTGTGAGGCGTGCACGGTTCCGTTGCTCACGAGCACATTATTTTGACAAATATTCAGATTTTTAACATTTTTTCGGGGTTTTTCTGCAGTCAAGATGCCCAAAAGAAAGGTAAGGATGCACTGGAATATTTTTTATTTCTGAAAAAAAATCACGAATTTTGTTATCTTGTACATATGTGCCTATATTTTTACATTTTTTTGTTGCTGTTATGGGCTGTGATCTTGTAGTTGTTTTTATAATGGCGGACAGTCGATTTTTACATATTCACTGTCAGACTGTCAGTCTTGCCGCGCAGTGACGAAAACATGACTAAAACACTCGACGTTTAACTTAAAATACACCAGACGGGCATTTTAAAAATGACAAATACTGTAGCCTTTATATGTGCATTATTATTTCTATAATTATCCGAGCAAAACAAATCCTGTAACATCCTGTAAGATCCGCCTGATCACTTGATAATGTAAATGGAGGGAACTTGCATGTCTTATGATGCTGCTCGAACTCCCACAGGCAAATATTAACGTTACTAGTTTTACATAACATAAGCCTTTACATTAACTAAGATATTAGCATTATCACACTGCAGAGAAGTGATTGTGTTGGAATTTTACATGGAAATATAGCTCACATTTAATATTTTGCGTTGATATGAGATTGCGAACGTGTATTTTCGGTCCTCAAGTCAATTTTATTAAACATAATAATGTGGTGTACTGCTACTGTTCTTTCGTGTCATTTAAGCTGCTCCTGTCATTGTTGATGTGCACAACGCCTACCCGAGAAACGTCAAGCTGCCATCTTTACAGCACCTGTGTCTTTAGAAGACGGTGTCTTACTAGTTTTACTCGTTTTGACTGTAAATGTAATTTTTTACATTTTACTTAAGTATTCAATGTGCTTTTGTGCGAGTTACAGTGTTTTCGTGACGAAAACAAAGGAACTATACACTGAGAATCGCCCCTCAATCGTTTAAAAGGCGCGTAGTGATGCGGCCAAACAAAAGGAAGCCGTCTTGCCCGCGCGCACTGACAGCCCGGATTTGAATTTGAATATGCGCGGGAAGACAGAGCAGAAATAAAGTCATCCGTTATGGAAAATAACTGCGGCTCGTCGCCTGTGACGTAACGCCTTGTAACTGTCACAGAGAATGTTCTATTTTGTGTATTTCGACGAATGCGTTTATATACAATATATATATATATATTTGATATCTATAACGTTTTTGTGTTTTGTTCTTTTACAGATTGATGGTGAGAAGGCCGCCAAAGGCAAGGAGGAGGTTTGTCCATTTAAATATATATATATTTTTAAATTATTTTTAATAAATTATTGCATTAAAATTACATAAGAGCGTTTTTTGCATAAATTTGTCCTGCTTTTGCTTGATGAATAACAACCTTATTTTTAGTTTATGCTTATATTAGTTACATCAACCATCAGATAAATTTACTATAATGCCCAATTAATATATTTTTTCTCTCTCCAGTGAATATAATAATTTACATTTTATATTGGCTCCCCCACTCTTTTTCGGTTACATTATTGATTTTGTATTTATTTTATTTTATTTTTTGCAGCCAACAAGACGCTCCGCGAGGTTGTCTGCTGTAAGTATCATCTTTAGGATCTATTCAATAAATAGATCTTTGTCTAATTTCTCTGTCTAATTCATTTCTGAATTGATTTACAGAAACCAGCTCCTCCTAAAGCAGAACCAAAGCCCAAAAAAGCCGCAGCCCCTAAGGTAAGGATGGTGTGTGTGTGTGTGTGTGTGTGTATATATATATATATATATATATATATATATATATATATATATATATATATATATATATACAGTAGTCAACATTTGAAGTGGATCAAAACCTTTCATCAAAGTTATACATGAATTTTGAACAATACCCGTTCTTGTCTTAGGACAACTTTGTTAAACTTTTTTGATCCACTTCAAATGTTGACTTCTGTATGTGTGTGTGTGTGTGTGTATATATATATATATATATATATATATATATATATATATATATATATATATATATATATATATATATATATATATATGTGTGTGTGTGTGTGTGTGACCATTTATTGATGACAAAATGCCTTACCTACATGTTAACCCTCAAACCGCTGAGTGTGAATACATCCTAATCCAGCGGTTCGGTGTCTGTTATTAATTCTGCAATCATATTTTGTGTCATTGCTCACACAGAAGGCAGCCAAGGGGAAGAAGGGCAGCAACCCTGCTGAAAACGGAGACGCCAAGGCAGACCAGGTCAGTCTGAAAACTTCTTTGCTGAAATCTTTATTCTAAGCCATCAACACAGATGACACTTAGAAGAGAGAGAGAAAGAAATAAGACTGCTTTTTGTTCAGTAGCATAGATAACACACCGACTAATTACTGAAGCATATACGATAATTGATCACTGACTTTTTTGTAACGTTTTGGTCATTTTCCTCTAGGCACAGAAGGTGGACGCTGCTGGTGATGCCAAATGAGAAGCTAATGAGTGTCTGATCCTTCTATGTACTTGGTGACTGTACAGTTTGAAATAACTATTTTTTACCAAGTTTTATATTAAGAATAACATTTATAGTTGACTTGTTTGATGTATTGATTGATTTGACAGGAGTTACTATATTTCATTCATATCCATTTGTATCCCATTTTTTTAATCAAGCGTCTATATCTTGCCAAAACGGTTTGCCCTTGCTAAATCTGTTGGCAAAAAAACAAACAAAAACGCAAGAATATTGTCCTAAAGTTTGTTTATTGCTTCTCTATCTATCTCTTTCTTTCTTGGTTTATCTTTGGATTTTAAACACCAAACATTCTCAAAAGGCAGCTTAAGAGTGTTTCTAAAATGTTTTCAGGAGGGTTTTCACCATGTTGTTAGCATTTAAATGTAGAAATACTGTTTTTTCTTTACTTTTTCTTTTTTAGGGAAATTACAATGAAATTATCACAATAAAAAAAATGATTAAGGCAACAATGTTAAATAAATTTACAATGTGAACCTTCAATTTCTTTAGAGCTGTGTGTTCTGAACTTGTCTTTTTTTTATTATTAAGTTATGTTCTGAAACAGTGGAAGGATATTCAGTGACTCTTAAAATGCTTTGTTTTAAATGGTTTTGAATAAAAAAATAAAAAACTGTCCAGAAATTGTATATCATCTTTGTCATATTTTGCATGTGATTAAAAGTATGTATATACAGTGGTGGCCAAAATGATTAGAACGGTAAGATATTTTTTAATGTTTTAAAAGAAGTCTCTTCTGCTCACCAAGGCTTCATTTATTTGATCCAAAATACAGCAAAAACTAATATTGTGAAATATTACAATTTAAAATAACTGATCAAAGCTGAATTTTCAGCATCATTACTCCAGTCTTCAGTGATCCTTCAGAAATCACTCTAATATGATGATTTGCTGCTCAAGAAATATTATTATCAATGTTGAAAACAGTTGTGTACAATTTTTTTCAGGATTCTTTGATGAATAGAAAGTTTAAAAACAGCATTTATCTGTAATAGAAAGCTTTTGCAACATAATAAAGGTCTAAACTGTCACTTTTGATCAATTTAATCCATCCTTGCTGAATAAAATTATTAATTTCTTTAAAAAAAAAAAAAAAAACTTACTGACCCCAAACTTTTAAAAGGTAGTGATAATGTTACAAAAGCTTTCTATTACAGATAAATGCTGTTCTTTTGAACTTTCTGTTCCAACAAATAATCCTGAAAAACAATTGTACACTTTTTGTTTTTTTTAACATTGATAATAAATAAATAAATTCTGAAGGATCATGTGACACTGAAGACTGGAGTAATGATGCTGAAAATTCAGCTTTATCAACAGAAATAAATTGCATTTTAAAATATATTCAAATAGAAAAGTTATTTTAAATAGTAAAAATATTTCACAATATTACTGTTTTTGCTGTATTTTGGATCAAATAAAATAAATGAAGCCTTGGTGGGCAGAAGAGACTTCTTTTAAAACATTTAAAAAATCTTACTAATAATTTTGGCCACCACTAAACAGATAAATAAGCAATTAAGTAGTATTAAATCCTTTGCACTGTTATCAAAGATCATCTCACTATAGAAAATTACATTGTGTTTGGATAATTTTGCTTTCTAACAGGCAAATGGCAATCAAGTGCAGTTAAAGGGCAATTATCAGAATAGGGAACTGAGAATGCATATTTCTTATATGAATAATTAACAAATAGTGCATGCAGAGTGAATATGATTTCAGATTCCAATCAACCAATCAGATTTGCGTTGCACTTTATTTTAATAATAATAATAATAATAGTGCTTCTACGTCGGTGTTATTCACCTCTCATTTCGGTCTGATTTTGAGGATAACTTATTGTTAGGGATCGGATTGTTTTCGTATAGGAATGTCGTTCTAGGATCAACAAAATATGTAGGGTGTTGTAGTTACATTTGTTTCTCGCAAGATGTCGCTGCCGTTTAATAAACGAGGGAAAATGATTCAAACGGTAATTCATTGACTGTCCAGCAGGTGGCTCTATTTGCTAACTAAAATATATCGCTCGATTTCCTCAGCAGGATAGGAATAGCCTAAACATTTCAATCTCAGCAACATCTGATTTTGTGACACGGTTTGTGTAAAATCAGTTTTACTTTCTTTTGTGAGAATATTTTCTGTTGGAATGTGTTCCCTGGAAAACGCCTCTTGCTCAGCACTTGTTGCGGACTAACGTTACGCCCGAAAGAAATGTTGACAACATACCATTTGACTTGTATTTCTTGTTAAGACTGGAAAGAACAAAGATCTTGCAGTAATAAATATCAGACCGATTCTACTACATTGTTCTTGTAAAAGGGAAAAGATTTTGTGACCGTTTATGAATAAAAAAAAAAAAAAAAAAACAGCTGGAAAGTTTATCTTAAATTTTGTTGAACAGTCGCAAGTTTCTTGATGATCATGTAACTAGTTAACCTGCTAATTTGTTGGTATAGATGATCATGTACTGGTTAACTTGATAATTTGTCAGTCTCTATGATCATTTAACTGGTTGACCTGCTAATTTGTTACAAAGCGGATATGACCAATGGATAATCAACATTAATGTTTGGTTGACTTGTGCTATATGAGTTGATAAATGGCAATTCGATCGTTTATGATCTAAATTATTTATTATATCTGTGAAGAGACAGCATTTTACCCCATTAACACTGAAGCAAGATCTTTTCTCTGTGTTTCCTGAGCGCAATTCGTTAATAACAACAGACAGAACAAATAAATGAAAACTAAAGCCATGTGAATGCCAAGTGAGAAGACAACACGATGAGTAAATCACGGTTTATTGACCAAACAATTGTATTCCAACACGTAGCTGTCTATTATTAGTAAGAAATCAATCAGAAGATGTCAACGATGTTCCAAACCCTTCTGAAACTCAAACACACGACTGTTGTGACGAGGGAAACGTGCAAGTGGTGTTCTTCTCTGAACACAATCATTAATCAACACTGAGGGTCTGCACGGCCATGTGTTGTGACGTGTTCAGCCACACCCCCTACTGAATCTATAGGGCTTCATATATAATGTGGAGGAACATCGGGTGCCTTCAGTGTTCTGGCACTCTCAGCTCACGGAGGTCAATATCATCAGGTAAGCAGAAACGAATCACAAGATCACTGAGTTTCATGACAGTCATGTTTGCACAAAAACCGCAAAAATGTGTCAACGCAAGGTGGGATTTATACTAGCCTACCCCGTTTGAAAAATAACTTTTTCTGATTGCCAATTGCCAACTTCTGATACTGGTGGTAAATAACAGTATATTACTGTGCCAAATTCAACACATTCTTCCGTAAATGTAACGAGTGAATTTCAATGTTTTTTTTTTTTTTTTTAAAACCTTGCAATATTTTGAAAATGTGCGGTTGATTGGGATACTTTTTTTCAAGTTATATCAATGGGAAAAGTGTCCCAATCATCCAGAAGTATTTTAATTATTTATTTTTCAAAATAGTTTCACATGAGCAAGTTTCTTATTTACTGTTTATGACAAGATTAGCAAAACTACTGTGTTGTAAACCTCATACGCTGCTCATGGATCTTCTAAATGCAATGTTATTTGCATTAATACATCTTTAACCACAATGGGCAATTGAGTTATTCATAGGGAAAAGGGATAATTGATTAATTTGAAGACCTTGTATTGAATGCAGATTTGAATAACTGTAAAATCCAGGTTATTTCTGTAATATTTCATGATTTACTACTGTAAAAAGTGAATCAATAACATTGTTGGAAATTAAGTTTTGATGACACTAAACATTGGCTTGGTATGTTAATATCCACATTTTTGATTGGATCTTTAGACAAGATAAGTAAAGGAAATATGTTTGAGATCAGTGTCTCATTTATTTGAAATTTACTCCTACGACAATTATTACTTTTTAAATTCAGTGTGAAGGGACTTTTTGTCCTCAGATGAGGGCTAATACAGCTGATTGAGTGTCAGCTTGGAGATCCTAATTGTATTTTCTTGTCATTAGTGTAGAAGTGTGAATGGTATAGCCGTTTGGTTTAGACTATTGATATTCATGTCTCTAGAGCGGGGCTGAATATTCAGATGCTGTTTACAGTTGCTATCTCTTTCAAGTGATCCAATCACAAATGCTCCGCTGAAACTGCTTGACCTTTACACCTGGTATTTAAATGTCTCAAATCAAATGCATCTCTCTGGACAACTTTGGTCCAGTACGGACTTTCTGATTTCATAATTGCATAGACCACTTACTACATTGGCATGTTGCGGCATGTTAGTAAAATGTGCAAAAAAGTCAATTTTGTGTGATAAATGTGAAGTAATTTGTGATGTCATGTTTGTACATTAACTAAAATAAGGATGTGCTTCATTATCTTGTGTGTTCATATCAGGCATATTGTAGATGTTAAGTTTTGTGCATCTGTTTGTGCTCTCATGCAGTTATATTTGCACTTAACTGGTCATGTTAACTCTTGCGCAGTGGATGATTGATGTTTTGCTCCCTGTTTGACCATGATCCCTCGTCATAACCTAGCTGAAGCTAAATGTTTTGATGTCACTGTCTAGGGCTCTTGCTACAGAGCCATTTGCTTTAAGGAAACCATCGAAACTGTGCACATGCCACTAACATAAGAGGTTAGGATGAGGGCAGAGCTTAAGCTTTAGTAGGAATGGGAATGATGCTTCTGGCTGTGCAGCATCACTGACACTCAAGCGAATGCAAAGCGAGGGATGCTGTGAACATCTGCTTTGGTCTTGTGAGAATGGAGGGAAGCCCCCAGACTAATTTCAGATGTGAGGGCGGAGTTAGAGATTGGGGTGGAGCTTGTGGGGATGATGGGGGGAGGAGGAGGGTTTGTTAAAGAGTGAAAGGAGGGGTTGCACTATGATTGCTTGATGCACAACAAAGCATGAGGATTTCTCATTCAAACCGTCCAAACCAAAATAATAAAAAGGGTTATATTTTGCACAAGGATAATGAGTCCTGTTTTAGGGTTCATGAAAGACTCTTTTTGCCTTATTTTTTTTAAATTAAGAAACATTTCCCAGATTACTACCCAAAAGTTTTAGTTTTATGGTTATATATGTATTTATATACATAATATATTGTTCTCTTAAAGGGATAGCCTAGTACATCCCAAAATTAAAATGGTCATTTACTCACCCTCAAGTTGTTCCAAACCTGTATGAATTTCTTTCTTCTGCTGAACACAAAAGATTATATGGATAACTAAACCGTTGTGGGGCCCCATTGACTGTTGTATTTCTCCATACTGTGGAAGTTAATGGGGCCCCACAACTGTTTAGTTACCCATATAATCTTTTGTGTTCAGCAGAAGAAAGAAATTCATACAGGTTTGGAATAACTTGACAGAATTTAATTTTTTGGATGAACTAACTCTTTAATAATCTCATAGTGCACACAATTCTTGACAATGTCACAAAATATCTACAAATATAGCCTAAGTTCTCATTTCTCTGGTTTTGGGGATGAAATGTTCTTGACGGGTATTATGAGATTTGCCCTTGTGCTTTTAGTAACTAAACAATAACTGATCAAGAGTTAAAAGATCTTGTTGTAAAAATGAGTTAAGGGCATTGTTCTACTATACGGTTAATAGGTTTTACAGTTGTATTTTATTGTAGGTATTTCTGGATTTTTATGGCAAGTGTCAACAAGACCAGCCTCAGGGATTCACATCATTTTAAATGTGCACTTATGAATTAGATTTATAGTGACGTAGAATACAACCAAAATGTTGAAGAGTGACTCTAATGCCCTGTCTACTGGTATTAAAATCTGTTTTGGTCGATCGGGTCACAAGTGGTCGACGCTAAATAAAGGTGTAAACTGGGTGTAAAAAGTTGAGCTTGTCCACTTTCAACCACTTTTAGAGGTAGTTGAAAACCGGATTGCTTTCATAGTGTAAACGCTCATGTGATCAAATGTTCAAACAGCCACAAAAGACCCGTCTTCTCTCCAAATACTGACCTAATGTGTAAAGTATATGGGAAGCGCTCTAGCCTGACGGGATTTAAACTTTGTCGGCTGGAGACCCAAGTATGTTTTGAAGATGAAAAATGTACCAAGCAAGCACAATGTTCTCTCACCGTTCCTGATTTCTAACACACACTCACAGTGTTCGGCTGGTCTTGCGGCTGTCCGAGCACAAACCAAAACCCCTGCTCTCCGTATGTTTTTCCGTCGTCTCCGGGCGCTTTCATATGTAAATTGTGTGAGCTTACTTTGTTCATTAGATCGAAATATCTGAAGAAAAAACACGCATTTACCCTCCTTTAGTCTAGAATAAATCAGGACAAAAGTGGACAAAAGAGACGGGGTAAAACACCAGGTGTAATTGGGAATGTGTCTCCCTTGTCTACTTGTGATCCGATCGACCAAAGCGGATCTTAATACCAGGTGTAAACGGGTACTGGAACTTGAAAAGGATAGTCTAAAGTGAAGTGTGTGTGGTCAATTCAAGGTCAAGGTAAACTTTATTATCCCACAGGGGGAAATTCATATGGTCATTCAATTGATGATATACGTGTCTGTTAATGGTCTACAGTTTGATATATGTCAGGTTCTTTGTCTTTATAAATAACTTGTGCTTGAAAAAATGAGACTTTCATAGTCTGTTTTTTTATGGAGCTTGATTAAATCCCATCATTATAGATAAATTTACTCTGGAAACAATGTTTCTCGCTGAAGAGAAGAAATCTGTTCCCCTTACCACGCCATGATCCAAAAGACAATAACAGAAATGGAGTAATGCTTTCCAGTCTTTGTAACTGCAAGGTCCTCCATTGTCAATATCCGAAGGCCCACAGGCACAGGCTTTGGAATTTCCTTTTCTGCTGAAATCAAGTGTTTTTTTTTTTTTTGTCAAGCTTAAAGCTTTTTTGTCAAGCAATTGAGAGAAACTAGGGTTCACATGACTGTCAAGTCACATTGTCTATTTAATCTTTCCTTAAAGCTGTTTTCTTGGCCTTTAAATGTTAGATTATTCCAAAAACGGATGTTATAAAGCCCCCTACCGAATTAGGTCATTGAGATCTTTTGTTACATCACTCTTTGGAAAATCTGCAGTGATGCATTCTGTAATTCAGACCAGTGAAGTGGAATAGACTTGCATAACGAACACACTTTGCACGGCCGTGTGGTCTGTGGCGTAGAAGCATGATGTTGTGTGAATGCGGTCACTCCGTCCTCTTGGAGGCAGGATAATGGAGGATGATCTTGACCACACGTTGAGTACGATTTCATAAAAGTGTGTTCTTTTTGTTCACATGGCTATTTAAGTCGTTCTTGTTTCTCCATATTTTTGTAGTTTAGTAAGTGAGAGAATTATATTTGACAAGTTCGGAGTATTGTGGTTGGCAAAGTGGGTGTGTACACGTGCAAGCCAGAAAGCCTATGATGCATTCTGACAGCTGTGCATGTTCAAGAGAGAGAGAAAAGGCAGAGAGAGAGAGAGAGAGAGAGCAACACACAATCCGCCAATCTGATGGCAAGAGATCAGGTTGTATAAAAGGGCGGAGCTCCTGAGAAAGCTTCCTCTTGGAGCAGCTTCTTCATTTGCTGACCGCTCATGCTGTTTGCAGTCTGACTGGCAGAGGTCTCTGCATTTAAAGTCCAACTTTAGCTGCTAGAAATGCGGTTTCGTGGCTAACCTTCAAAGGTCTCATTTGTTTTTCCATTTCAGCTGTTTTTGGAGTTTGCCTTGGAGCAACAACGACGGAGTCGTCTTTCCTTTTCCTGAACAAGCGCGCAATTGCAGCAAGGTTGGTAGATGCATCCCAGACATGTATCTACCATCGCCTTCTCACTTCTCACCACTTTACAAGTGGTTAATGTAGTTCTAGTTCCTTTTACCCACTTGTATATCATATGTTGAATACCAAATTTGCAGTCGTTAGTCTAAAACGTCTAGCTGTTCTAAACTCCGATGAGTTCGAATCGTTGTTTTAAGTTCTGTTCCGAGTAATGGTGCCTTGCAGGCTTTGGACGAGTTTTTCTTCTGTTTCTTATTTGAGTCAGAGTAGGTCTGGTTCAAACCAGCACAGGATATATTTTCAGACAACAGATTACTGTCACCCAGACGTGATTCTCTGCATTTGTTCGGGATTGTTGCCTACGGCGTGAAGTGTTCCCTTGCATCAGCCATATTTGGTTTATGGCAAAACAAACTTTTTGTGTTTTCTTTTAACCCTAATTTTGAACTTTCCAAGGACCATTTCAAGGTTTTAATATCATTCTTCTAATGATTTTTAGTCAGAATGGCTGAATAAGTGTCCTTTTTGGCACACTAATCATTTAAATGTTCACAATAGAGTGCATTCTGGTTGTTTTTTTAATTGACTCGTCCTCTCCGGTCTACAGGTTCACACCTCGGCATTGCACAACCCTTCGGGAAGTTCGTTTCAGTCGTGTGGAGCACTAAAACAGCAGTGATGATCATCAGACTCGGCAGACTGACTCCTGGATACTTCCGCCTTCTGCAGGTGGCTATTTGTTCAAATCTTTTTAAATTGGTTAAATCTGTGAAAAGTGAACCTTTTTGGATTGCGTGTTTAAATGGGTCATCTCATGAGGAACCAGATTTTCCTCAATCTATTGTTAAATGTACAGTGAAAACATACTGTAGCTTTCAGAACTTCATTACTTTCCAGTGAAAAAAATATCATTTATTAAAATGAAGCTGCTTAAATCTCTTGATCTGAGACCCATCATTAATATGATTGCTCACACTTAAACTTCAACCTATTCATGATAAAAAAAAAAAGTGCGTCAGAAAATAAAATGATAAAGTATGATATGACCCCTTTAAAATGCATGCATGTGTGACACTTACATAATGACTTTTGCTAGGAGCAAGTAATGTTGGTTAGTTTGGGACGTGTAAATGTCCATTGGAAAGATCAAACTGGTGCCGGTCTGGCTTTTACACTGCATTCCTCATGGCTAAAAGCGACTGAACTAATTATATGAACAATGACCGTGAAGGGCTGAATGAAGGCTATGTACACATGGGAAATGCCAGTTTAAATTCATCTCTCATGAGCTTGATGTAATTCTCACGACTTGGAATATAAAAATAGCGTGAAAGCCGCAGGGGGGAACGGTCGTAAACAAGCAACTATCTTGATTGATTTGTTTTGACAGACATTCAAAACATTATCAATCCTCCATCTTGAATAGCAAATTTAATTAATGGACTAATATTGGGGTATAACAATACTTTTTCCATAGTGTCACAATAGTTCAGATTTTTACAGTATTGAGCTGCTTTTTCCAACAAATATCTACATATATAGTTTTATGCTCTGTGCATGTAGATTCAGACGAGCTAATCAAACACTACTAGAACTACTTTGAAATGTCAAGCTTGTTACTTCAAATACTGACATCAAAACCCAAGATTTAAAAATTGTTCTTGCAGTTTGAACAAATCCTCCTGTTAGTCAGTTTAATAACCTGTCCTTAGGTTTTAATTCAACAACAATTTTCCATACATCACAATAATCTGAATCATTAAGTTTGCAATGCCTAAAATAATACCCTTAGGCAACCTTATTGTCAAGCCCTGCCCCCTAATGATTAAATGCTTAATCTTTTTAATCTTAAAAAGATTATCATCTTACTTTTCTTAGACCCTTCTAAACCTACTTGCTTTAATGGAGATTGCAGAGAGACTTGTTAAACCGTCTTAATGTCGTCACCTTGAGGTTGCGGTAGTTAAACCTGAGTGTGGCGTCATTCAATGAGCTTTTATAGACTCCACTTATCATAACAAATACGGTCATGATCCATAATCATAACGTTGTTTTGGTTGGGCTTTGCACCTCTGGTTGGATAAATGTGGATACTTTTTGCTCTCTCTTATTAAAGACCTAATATGCCTTTTATTTTTTTAAAGTTTTGTTTTTGGGTTCTGCTAGAGGAGGTTTTCATGCTTGAATGTTCAAAAAACACATTATTTTCCCCATATTCTCCATTGTTGCGGCTCCTCTCTTCCCAGTCTGTCAGTAACGCTTGGTTTAGTTCCTGTCTCTATAAAGCCCCTCCTTCTGAAAAGCACACTGTGCTCTGATTGGTCGGCTGGAGCAGTGTGTTGTGATTGGTCAATCGCTTTGAGTGTTCGCCCCTTACCATAACCGCCAGTTTCAACACACTACCAAAGCAACTCAACTTTTTGCATACGCCTTGGGCGGGAATTATTTGTGACGTGTTCGTTCCTGGAAGAAAACTCAAGACTACAATGGAGGCGTTTCATGGAGTTCAGAAACACTGATATGGAGAATAACTCCCGCTGGAGCTTTTTCATCCTCAAACAGCAACATCACACACTAAAAAAAGTTGCATACTGTAGCTTTCATTCAAGTTGTAATTGAGTCCTTTTTAGCCGTCATATGCTTTTGATTGCAAACATGCAGAATGACGTTCCTCTCCTGCAGTTACTTTATTTGGCAATAAATATTTAATGATTCCATATATCCCACACAAATGAGCAGGACATTGTGTTCTTTCTGAGGAAGCCAGATGATTGTACAAAATTTCAAGAAGATTATGGCCTTGTTAACGAACCTTTTTTCCGTTCTTTTCGCAGAGGCAGGTAGCAGGAGAGGTTCAGGCCCCGGCTCACGACCGCTCCGTAAACCAGATCGCCATGATGCTGGCCATCATGGGCCTTAGCATGTCCTACTACAGTGCCAAACAGATGACCGAGAAGGTCCACCATGAGCCCGCCCCGTGAAGATGCGCTCCTGTCCTTCAGAGTGACGGCATCCGGAGAAGACGATGTCAAACGGAAGATGCAGTTGGATATTCAGATGTAGAAGATGTTTAGACTCTGTCACACTACACCTTTCTATAACTGTTGGATTTCCAGGGATCACACACCATGGGGCTTCTGCTTAGGGGTTCTCTTGCTTTAGTTTCACTCTCAATGGGGTCTGGAAGGGGTTGAATGTTGTGGCCTGAGTTTCGATAGCTGCCGTGGTACATGCATATCAGAGAGTCAGTCAATTCTGCTGTAGGTTTACTGGGAAAAAAACTCGAGCTCCATCATTGATGCCTAAATATGGAGCTTAACTCTGAGCCATAATGTCTTTTAAAGGGAAGGACCTCTGCATTTGAGATGTACCAAGCAACTATTGAAAGCAGGGCCACTGCAGGGTGACACTGCAGGGTGACATGCTGGATTTATTTCAGATTTCCCCCAAAAAGATCCTATTGAAGAACGTCAGAGACTTGAGGACTTATAGCGGAGGTATTGCTCTACAATACTACACTTGTTTTAGACACTTTAGGAAATGTATTGCAGTACTACAGAGACTGTTTGAGGACCTTATGTTAAAGTTACTTATCTTTCTTTCATCATAACAAACAATATCTTCATATCATCTTGTTTGTCCTGGCTTCAATCTTTAGATTGTCAAAGCCGACTTTCTATGTGCAATAGCATGAGCTTAAAGCAGTTTTTTTTTTTTTAGTGAAACCAATCCATATGTTGTTTCTAATACTTTTTATGATAATGTGATTATGATGATGACGAATGTACTGTATGTTATGTTTTTAAGACACAATGATCAAATAAAGCTGTGAATAATTTGAACACGATCAAGTAATGGGAAGCAAGTCATGACTCAAGAAGGTTTAGAAGAATGTTATAAAAGAAGCTGTTGACAAAGGATTTCCTGCTGAGTCGAGTTCTACACCGAAACCATATGAAGGGTTTTCGTGTCGACTGAAGCGTGCTGTTGAGAACAGGAAGTGGGCAAAGCCTCAGGCAACAACTTCCTCTATCTGCACGCAATATTTGTCTACCATCCTGCCGGTTGCTTCTGGCGTGATGTCTTGCCCACTTACCATGTTCAAAAGATGTCGGTTAAACCCAACTTTTGTACACCTTGTAACATAAGGTGCATCTGCTCCATCACTCCCCTGAAATACTAAGCAATTTAGGCCTGAGTTGTACTTGTACACGTACAGGAACATAGATGCGTCTACCAAGACACATTTTTCTCATATTCTCCAGTCTGTCAGTAATGCTCTGTTTAGTTCCTGTCTCTAAGAAGCCCCTCCTTCTGAAAATCACACTGTGCTCTGATTGGGCGGCTGGAGCAGTGTGCTGTGATTGGTCAATCGCTTCGCCTCTTACCATAACCGCCAGTTTCAACACACTACTAAAGCAACTCAAAGCCCCACCCCTTAATCCTGCGTATGAATTATTTAAATGAGGAATATTGGCTGCATCTGATATGACGAGCTCTCTTGAGTAGCTACTTATTTTGAATAAGTAATTACTTCACGACCGCTAAAAAAGTAAGTTCTATATAGTATGAATGTAATCTGGACACATGCAAAGTTCCTGGAAGAAAACTCAAGACTGCAATGGAGGCGTTTCAGGGAGTTCAGAAACAGTGACACTGATATAGAGAATAACTCCAGCTGGAGGGACTTTGTGCTTTTTCATGCTCAAACAACAACATCACACACACACACGCACAAAAAAAAAAAAAAAGCATAATAGCACCCCTTCCCGATTGGTTAAAACCCAATGGTGAATTGCGTCCAATCCACCCCAACTACCACCAAATGTTTCTTTTGACGCCATGATTTTCTCATTATTACCAGGCAGTTAACACACCATTGCTGTGTGGATGGGGGAGCGGATGTGTTTTTAAGCGTTCGCTCGGATGCTCTCGGCAGATGTGATGTCCTGTGACAAGCCGAGGCCACATTGCATGACACGTTTTATTCCACCAATCGCCTTTAGCTCCTCCTCTCTGATCACTGTGCAAATTTGCCCAAAAAATACCGCTGGGGTGGTTCTGACATGCTAGCTTAGGACATGAACCTCAACACGCTCGTCCCATTGGCTGTCTGGTGATGCATCATCATGGTGTCTTTGCAGTGAAACAAAAGAATGGGGATCACATGATGCACATGGTTGCTAAAAGGGATGGATATAGAAATATTTTAATATGAGGTAGCGGAGGCCTTTTCTGTTTGTTTTGATGGTGATTTGTACATGTAAGAAGCACTTTGAGATTGAAATATGCATGGTGAGAATCATATTTTCTATATGATTGATTGCTTTGTGTTAACGAATGACACTGAAATGTGAATTAAACCACAGACGTGATGCGTTCTGTATGTCCATATAGATCATTGAGTGACTTGTTTTGTTGCTCATGTCATGTTGCTATGTTTCATTAAATTCATTTCAATCATGTCTGACTTCAATTGTTGTTTTCATCGTCTCACATTTGTTCTAAATCAGTGGTTTCAACTGGTGCGAAGCAGGTCTTTTTTGCAAACAGCAGGGAAAAAAAGCATGCAAAATACAAATAATAAAATGCAACTTAGTTAGGAAAACAAAATAAATGGACAATGCTTCTTATATACACTACCATTCAAAAGTTTGGGGGCAGTAAGATTTTTTTCCGGAAAGAAATTAATACTTTTATTCAGCAAGGACGCATTATATTGATCAAGATGCGGTTCTTAAAAAAATGATTCATCAAAGAATACTGGAAAACTGTATTGCACTTTGATCACCGGAATAAATTAGTTTAAAATATATTCACATAGAAAACAGCCATTTTAAATTGTAATAATATTTCACAGTATTTCTGTTTTTGCTGTATTTCTGATCAAATAAATGCAGCCTTGGTAAGTATAAGTATGTAAGTGTAAGTATGGTAAGAGACTTCTTTCAAAAAAGCTTAATGGCCACAAACTTTTGAACAGCAGTGCATTTTGTTATCAAAGGTCATGAAGATCATCTAATCATAATCTACAGTATTTCTACAGATCCAGACAACATTGTGAATTTAAAATCTGGGTCTATGAAAACCAGTTGTGACTGAACATGGACTTAAGTCATGTCATTAAATCTTTAGGTATATCCAGACACTCATATCTCTGTTTTCATCCCACAACAAGCACACATACACATTGACAGGCGAATGACATGATGTCTTGGTTCCCGTGCCGGTCCGTCTCCGATGCCCACGAGATGTTCTGTCTGGACCGTGACAAAGATCACAGTGTGTCGCAGCATCTGCTCTGTCAGCCGCTCAGTGAAAATACACCATCATGTTCTCATCCTCGTGTTTATCCTTCTCTCTCTCATCAGGGTTTAGGAGGCAGTTTATCACTGCAGCAATGCTGGGTAATCCTGCCTATAAACCTGACTTGTGGTCATTTCCCATTGTTTTGATTTGATAGTAGTGTCCAAAAGTGATGTCTGGCGTAGGAAAATTGACATCTTCACCCTTTATTTCAATATTTTTCAATATTTAAGCATATTGCATAGTTGTGTTTGGAGCCAACAGTTTTATTTGTGATAATAATGCAATGAAACATGACAAATTGTGCGGACATAATTTTTGGCATACAAAAAGAAAATCTTCATGCAAAGAAATTATGAACACATGCAAAAACAAGAGAGAATCAACAAAATATTTATAACTGATTATGTTGTAGTCAATATGTTTTTTTCTGTGAGCTTTTTGGTTTTCTATGCATTTTCTTTTGCATAGTAAAATAAAACCTGTTGCTGTTTTTTTGCCAAATAATTTTGTAAGACAAATACCTTAACCAAGTTTAGTGTTTTTTCTTCCTTCACATTTAAAATAAAATATACCCCTACTGTATTTGACCAAAATTACTACTTACTACTTAAATATTCAATTACATGTTATTTAAAATCTAAAAAAAAACATCTTTATATTTTTGTAATGTATTTGTCTTCAATAGTTTTTTTGGTAACACTTTACTTGAAGGGGTGTGCATAAGACTGACATGACACCTTCATAATCATGACATGACACATGTCTAAGGTGAAGAAGGTTTTATGCATGTTTATGACAACTGTCATTAAGTGTCATTCGCTCAATTATGACATTTTTAATGCAAATATGACATTGTTTGAGATGTCTTTGTTATCACACCTTGACATAAACCAATACATCATAACCTGTCAGTGTCTTTGTCATGACAACTTGACATTACCAAGACAACACAACCTGTCATAAATATGTCATAAACATGACATAGCAGATTAATTATCAAACTTAAGAAACCACTTAACATTACATTAAACTGTCAGGTGGTTGGGTTTGACTGCATGTGGAGAGGCCATTATATAACTGTGTCATGAATATTTTTCTTGATCTGAATTACAGTGGTACAAATTGAATTTGTCATTAAAATGTTATGATGGCCTCATGACAGCCAATGTCAAAACCAACCACCTGACAGTTTAATGTAATGTTAAGTGGTTTCTTAAGTTTGATAATTAATCTGCTATGTCATGTTTATGACATATTCATGACAGGTTGTGTTGTCTTAGTAATGTCAAGTTGTCATGACAAAGACATTAACAGGTTATGGTGTATTGGTTTATGTCAAGGTGTCATAACAAAGACATCTCAAACAATGTCATATTTGCATTAAAAATGTCATAATTGAGCGAATGACACTTAATGACAGTTGTCATAAACATGCATAAAACATGTGTTATGTCATGATTATGAAGGTGTCACGTCAGTCTTGTGCACACCCCTTCAAGTAAAGTACCGTTTTTTTTTTATTAAAAGATATTATACAAAACATATCTTAGAATCAGTTTTTTTTAGCTAAAATCACAAATTCCTTTTCCCTTTTCTGCATCTGACTCCATTATGGCATGTAAAACCCATTTTCACCGTCGAATTTATCCCGTTTCACTCAAAATACATCAGATTGTGGAGGTAAAATAGGTTGCAAAGACTGTTTCTCATTGACTTTGTCAGATTTAAAAGATCCCTA